CCTCTCTGGGCATTTATTGAAGCTCTGAGGCCCTGATAAGTAAGATGCCAATACCAGTGGGTGGTAACTCCTTCAGGCAGGCTGAGAATGGTTTCCATGGAGACCGCCCAGGCTCTGGTTTCCACAGCAACACTTGCATGAGGTTACAGAGCTTCCTATTTATGTCAATGTAACATTTCCAACTGTTCTATTCTTCAGTCCAAACCTGGGCCTAATACAGAGCTTCCTTACTAGGATGGAGACAGGCCTCAAGGGACAGAGAGAAAAATGGGCAAAACAGTGTGCAGTGAGCTGCCAGTAAGGATGCCTCCTCAGCCAGCAGGCCCTCCTCCATCCCACGAATGTGACATACACACATTTAAATTATAAGAAAAATACACCTTCACAACATGGAAGGATACAAAGTCCTACACCACCATCTCACCCCTGCTCCCCAGTGATAACTGGTGTGGCCTTCCAGAAATAGCATATGCACATCTGCAGAGCTATCTTTTAAAAAATTCACTAATGGGATATATATTCTTGTTCTGCCACCTGCTTTACCCTAATTATAGGTCGTGGAGAACTTTACGCATCGGCATAAATAGATCTACCTCATTCTTTGTAATGGCAACAAAATACCTGAACTTTTTAAAAACTAAGTCCCCAATGGAGGGACTTTTATTTTTAGTTTCTTGCTATTATAATAATAAATATTTTTATATCCTTGTTTGAGTGTATCCACAGGATGAATTCCTAGCAGTGAAACTGCTGGGGCAAATACATTACATTTTAAAGTTTGAAATTTTAAAATTTGATTCTTGTCAAACTAATATGCTGCCATTATTAACACAAGAGGGCTTGTACACTTTTGAGGAAACGGGGTATTATTAAATTTAAAACATAACCACAAAACTAATCTCCTCAACTCATTCTATGAGACCAGTAAGATATTAATATACATCCTGACAAGGAGAGAGTGAGAAAAGAAAATGACAGGGTAGTCTTACTATAATAAACATACATCTGAAACTCCTGAAAGAAATATTAGCAAACAGAATCCAATAGTGTAGAAACAAAATTATACATCATGACCAAATTAGTTATCAATGTTCTGCAGCACATTACCAAATTAAAGATGGATCATATTGTGATCATATCAAGAGGTGCAGAAAATACATTTGGTGAAAGAATTCCACATGCATCCCTGATTAAAAATGAAAGCTAGGAGTTGAAGACAACTTCTTCAATTAACCTTAAAAGGAAGATTCTCCCAATATCTAAAGCTAAAACTATACTCAAGGTGAATTCCCTTGAATCTCAAGAATAAAACAAGATTTGTGCTCATCACCATGGTACCAGAGCTCCTAGTCAGTGAGGTAGGATAAGAAAAAGAAATAAAAGTTACAATTATTTGAACAGAAAAAAAAAGAGTCTATTCATAATCAATACAAATGCTTACATAGAAAACACAAAAGGATCCTCAGATAACCTCTCAGAACACAGAAGACAGCTTGGCAAACTCGTTGGATCAATACCCAAATGTAAATTACATTTCTATACAGTAGTAACAAAGAATTGCAAGAGCAACAGAGAGAAGAGACTGAGGACTATCCATCTGATTAATGAGAGATTTTTCAAGGCCTCTGAGAAAGTACAAAATTGTATTGGAAGATATTTAAGATTCAAATAAATTTTTTAAAAATACCATGTTAATGGATCAGGACACTCGGTATCATAACAATTTCAATTCTCCCCAAGTAGATCTGTAGATTTGATACAAGTCCAATAAATGGTATCTAAAGTATGTATGAAAACAAAGGGCCAAGAATAGACACAGCACCTCTGGAGAAAATCAAGGTAGGAGATCTGCACTATCAGGTATCCAGACTTACATTAAGTGTGGTTATGGCCCAAAGGATAGACCCGAAGGGCAGAACAGGAAGTCCAAAAATAGATCTTACACATATGGAGACTTGATCACTGCAGACACACACTGCAACTCAGTGAGGAAGGGGGACAACAACCAACACAGAACAAATGGTTATGCTCACCTCACACCACACCAGGGGATAAAATCCAGGGGATCCTAAAATAGAGCATACGAAATTTTAATAAAATTAGAAGTATAGGATAATACCTCTTTAGTCTAAGGATAGGAAGGATTTCTGAAACAAGATACAAAAAACCATAATCATAAAGAAAAAGATGCATAAACCTGACTACATAAAAACCAATAATTTCTGCTCACCAAAGAAACAACAAAGAAAATGAGAAGACAAATTACAAACCTGGGTAAGCTATTTGCCACACATCAATGACACAATACATAAAGATTATATAAAATACATAAAAGAACTACAAGTCACTAAGAACAAAATGAAGTATAGTTTATTATAGTAAGAAGTAACAAAGAATGGGCCAAAGAACACAAATACACATTTCACAGAAAAGAAAATTTGAGGGTCCAATAAACATAGGAAACTTGCCCAACTTTCCTAGTAATCCTGGAAGTGAAAATTAAAATCCTAACAAAATGCTATTTTACTCTCAATCCTTTGGCCAAAAACATCCCAAGGGTTGTTTAGCAAGCGTTGGCAAGGATGTGGAGCAGGAGCACACCGGCAGCACAGGTGGGGATGTAAACTAGTTCAACACCTTACCAAAAACAATCGGGCAGGATTTCGTGAGGTGAGCATGTGCACGCTTGCGACCCAGTGCTTCCACTTCTAGGTGTAGATCACACAGAAACCCTTGCACAGGTGCACCAGAAGCCTCATGAAAAAAATGTTCATTAATGCACTGTTGTGATAGTAAAAAATTGGACAGAGTTCAAATATTCATCGTTATGATCATAGGCAGTTACATTGCACATTCGCATACTGGACTGACATAGCAGGACAAATCAATTAAGTAATATTTTAGGCTTCAACATGGCTGAATCTTAGAAATATGAGAGGGGGGAAAATCAAGTCACAGCAAATAACGTATTTTCTTACTACTTTTAAAATATTCAAACCCAAGCTAAACTGCATTAGGGGTTCATACATACGCAAAACTGAGAAACTCAGGAATCATTAGTTAGCCTGGATTGGCTAATTAATACACACAGATAGGCTGATGTATGGGAAATTGACATTTTCATGATTGTCTTTGTCCCTAAGAATAGATGTACCTTTAATGTCCCTCACAGAATGTAGAGGTGGGGTGGGTGGAGGAGACGGACTGGGATGAGGTGGGGGGTCTCCGCATACAGAGCCAACAGTCCCCTCATCCTTGAGCATGGTCCTCCCCTCATTTAGAGGTGGTCTACTTCTCTTCACTTAAATCAGGGCTGATTTTGTGACTTGCTTTGACCAACAATGCAACGACGTAACGTTCTGGAACTTTGCATTCCAGGTCTTATGGGGACTGGCAGCTTCAGCTTCCCCTCTTGGAGTCTGCTTGCCGAACTGTAAGGAAGCTGGCTGTTGAGTGGAGGCCATGAGGAGCAAGGCTTTGTACGGGAGGGGCCATCTTGGATGTTTTTGCACAGCACAGCTCCTAGCTGAATGCAGAGCAGGGGTGAGCAGCTAGGCCAGGAGAGCCAAACGCAAGTCGTCTTGCAAAACCAGGAAAAATATTCAACTTTATCTCTGGGGTGGTTTGTTATGCAGCAGCAAAGGGAGACACATGCAAGGAATTCAGAGGTATTGGCAGTTTTGTTTTAAAAGTTGGCTGGTGGGTGTCCAGAATCATATGGTCATTATGCTTTATAACTTTCATACCAGTGATTTACATATAGTATTTGTATTTAGTAAAGCTTCACAGTATAAAATGTGTAGCAAAAACAAAACAAAACCCCTAACTGGACATACAAAAAATCTCCCTAGCTTTGATTTGTATTTCCTATGTAACTATGATTAAGTCTTATGCTTAAACAATGATCCATTTGTATTTCTGTGAACTGCCTGTCCGTATTCTTTGCCTATTTATCTATTGGGTTGTTCGTTTTTTGTGATTTACAAGAACTTTGCGTATTAAAAAAAACAGCACTTTGTATGCCCTGCTGGAAAAACCTCTCCCATTTGCTGCTTATGAAACTTTGTGTGCCAGTTTCTCAGAGTCCAAGTTATTATTGGTGGGTGTCATGCTTAGAAAGGTCTTTCCTCCTCCAAGACTCTTTCAAATCATCATCTCTTTAGGTACTTCTATTGCTCCATTTCATACTTAAAACCTTTGATCCAGCCCTATTTTTGTTACAGGGTAATAGGATCCAGGTTAATTTTGTCAAAATGGCTAGCCAGTTGTTTCATTAAAATGAACCCACGTTCACCAAATTCCTTGTTTGTCAACTTCCAAGCCCTCCTTTGACCTTTTCCTTTGCTACACAGAACACTTTAATGATGGTAGTCTCCGTTTCCTATCTGGAAGGTGCTGCTCCTTTTAATTGTGATTACACTGCCTTTAAATGATTGACTTCTTTGCAAGATTGCCTTGGATCAGAGAACAAGGTGTTCTGCGCTCACTTGACTCTTGTACGTCCCTTGCAGGATTACCGAGCTGGTGAATGGCACCAAGGGCGTAGCACCTATGCTCACCCCGGTCCCACCTCCGGGCAGCTCTCCCCTGCTTCCTTCTCTGCAGAATGTGACCTCAGGCCAACCTCAACTCAGATCCACTGAGATGTTTACTAATGGCCCAGAAAGTGTGAACACTTCATCCTTGTGCTTAGGAACAAGCAATAATGTCATCCTCTGTGTACAACTGAATGGGTGGTTTATAGGCACCTGAATGTAGCACGACCTTGGGCAAGTTGCATAAGGTCCCAAACCCTTCCCTCCTCCCTCCCCTGTAAAGTGTGAATCTACCTGGCTCTCAGTGGTGGGTCGATAGCAATACTGAAGGGACCATCCATGGTCCTTGGCTGAACCGAGACAACCCAATGCCAAGGCCTGCTGGCCTCCCCCTGCCTGCAGCCCCTGGTATATGTGGCCAGCCTGCCCACACCCACTCCTCCACATGCCACTCCCAAGTCAAAGTCAGAAGTCAAAAGATTTTTATTGTTCTACAGATACTTCTGAAAAGAGATCTAATTGAGAAAATATACAAAGCATTTACGGGATTCATCTCCAAGTCTGACTGGAGGCGTCGAAGCCCTCCTCAAGGCTCAGGGCTGAAAACGGTTAGCATATTGAACGATCAGTAAAAACATGCAAAAGTGAGAAGGAAAAAAGGAAAAAACACTGCATTCCCCCAAAGCAGAGGGAACAAAATTTCAGAACGAGGAGGCAGCGGGATGTCCAAGTACCAGGTGGCTCTCCCTTCCCCCTGTTATCTTCTAGAACAGCTCCAAGCTTGGAGAAAACAACCAGCCCACCCACTCAGCAGGCCCTGCAGGCCCGCGGCCCAGAGGACGGGCAGAGGCGATGCCCTTTGGGGGCTGCGCCCGGGCCCTGGTCCTCCCTTCTTTGGTTCCACTTGGAGAACTGATTGTGCTTGACAGACTCAGACCCACCCCCCAAAGCCCAGGCTCCCGCTGGTGGGCTAAAGGCACTGACAGGGGTCCTGGGGTTTCCCCAGGACGGCCGTCCCCCCTTGTGCTCTGGGTGGGAGCATCTGGCACGTTCCCTCCTCCTCCGCCCAGACCTGGGAATCAGGACACGGGAGGACGTGTGCTGTCCAAGGAAAAAGCCCTTCGGGATTTTTCCAACTGTGCAGACTTTTCTGAACCCCATTCCACACCCTATCCCCCACCCCCACCTTGCCCAGGACCCCCCACATGCCCGGCCCATCCATGTATCCTTCCCCTGGGCTGCCACTGCAGCTGTGGGCCAACCCCAGTGGACCCAACTTCAAGATGGTGATCACAGAAACTATCCTGGGGTGCCCCCCCACCCCCAGACCTGGGAGGTCAGAGGTGGGGCCTCGAGGTCACAGCTCTGGTACAGGGAGACAGGCAGGGCTGGAAAGGAACTGGGAGACACGTCACGTCTACAGAAAGGTGTCCAAAGTACAAGCTGAGCAAGGGGAAGGAGGAGGGCCAGGGAGTGGACAGAAGAGAAAAAGAAAGAGGGCAGGGGCGGGGCCGGGAGTCGGGGCGGCCTCACGCCACCCCGCAGATGCGCGTCTCCACCACAAATGTGTTCTCAAAGTGGCGGATGGCGTTGCAGTTCTTGGTGCCTCGCTTGTTAATCCCTAGGGGGCAACAGAGAAATCCCAGTGAGGCTTGTGTCCTGGCCCAGAACTGGCTGGGCCACAAAGGCCACCAGACTGGGGGCCTGACTCAAGACCTCAGGACCCGGAGTAGAAGAAAGCCCAGGAAATGGCACCCAGATTCTTCCCCAGGGGCAGCGCAGTGGAGGGGGGCTCAGGAGCCAGAGCCAGCCTGCCCAGCTCTGCCGCCTTCCTGCTGATCTCGGGGGTATCACTTAACCTCTCTGTGCCTGTTTCCTCTCTCAAAGGGACAGTGATCCTGACGACAATGACAACTCACACTCTTTTAGGCCATAAAGAGCATGAAATGGCCTGGCACAAGGGCTCGATGAGCGTTAGCTGTGAGTGCCGCCGCTGTCCGGCCCCTGATGCTCATCTCCAGCTGTGCGGCCAGGAGCCGCCAGAGCACGGCTGAGGTTCGCAGCTCAGGGCAGGGGCCCAGGTGGGTGCAGCTGACCACTCACGTCTCCGGGTAGCCCGGCGCCGCAGCCGGTAGGTGTCCTTCCCACTGCACAGGTGGTAGATGAAGGAGCCCAGAGCCTCCTTGTCGCTGACGTGCTCTGTGACCACCATCTCCTCCTGGATGATGTACGTCTGCGGGAGGTAGGTCCCCCTCTGCCAAGGGAGTGGCCACGGTGCCGGATCAGTACCCAGGGCTCTCTGCCCTGGTGTCCGCTTGCCCCCTGCCCACGCCCCTCACTGCCACCCTGCTCATTCAAGCCAAGTCCCCCAGTGTCTGAAACCCCTGGGCACACACGCCCACCTCCCTCATCCAGAAGATCAGCCCCAGGCACTTCCTGTTTGTGCCAAGTGCCTGTGCCCGCTCTGCATGAATCACATGTGTATGCGAGTCTGCTCTCCCACCCAGGGTGGGTGCTCCTCGGGGGCAGGGCCCCATCTGCTCCTGCACGGCCCCCATGCGTGCTAAGGAAGCTGGTCCTGGGGTTGGAGAAGGGGAGATGTGGACCCCGGATGTGGGAGAGGGACATGGAAGGAGGAGGACCCATCTGGGGTCTTGGGCCCAGCTGACAACAATGTCCCTGGACCCCCAACCCCCACTGCAGGAACCTCCTTTGCCCCAGGCCTGGCCTCCATTGCAGGGGGGAGACATTGGGTCGCTAGGGCGCCCCGCTCACCTTCACGTTCATGAGGAGCTCCCAGAAGTTGCGAGGGGGCAGCACGATGGTGGTGTTGAGCTCAATGACGTAGCACTTGTCCAGGGAGACGTCGTGGTAGGCTGTGAGGCCCTGCACAGGAGGAGGGGCCATGTCAGCCTCTGTGGGTGAGGACCTGGCCAGGGCGGAGCTGTGCGAGGCCCTTGGCCAGCAGAGGCACCAACTCTACCTGCCAGTACAGGGCACCCTGGCTCCGGGGCTGCCTTTTCTTGCTCCCTGCCTAGCCTAGGGTTGTCAGGGGCTCCATTACTAGATGAAAACGCCAGCTGCTAAGTGTCTCAGTTGTCACAGGGCTCTTCTCTCGGGGTTGGAGTTGAGGTTTGGGGAACGCAGCAGTGTCCCCACAGTGCATTTGCATCAGACCTTGGAGGTCCTGCCACCTGTGGACAGCCTGGATCCTCAGTGGGAGACGCCCCATCCCTGGCCCCTGTTTTTCAGCTGCAACAATGTCCAGGATGTGGAGAGAAGGGTTCGGGCTAAAGAAGCCCTATGCAGTTTTGGGAAGCAAGTATGAGAACGAGTCAGGCGGCCTGTGTTTCACTGGCTTCAAAACTCTTGCTGGCAACAGAGGTGGGAAGGACGGTCACCTCTGGGTGGGGGTATGACTGGGAAGGGGCACAGGGAACCGTCTGGAGTGCTGGCAGGGCTCCAGATCTTCATCTGGACGGCGTCTGCTTATATGTACACCTCCGCAGACCTCCACTAAGCTGCACTTGGTGGTAGGCATGCTACGCCTCAATAAAATGTCAGCATGGAAATACCTCAATGAAAAGGAACACTGGCCTCGCCTACGACAGCCAGTGTTCTGCAGCTGTCAGCTGGCTCAGGAGAAAACCAGCCACGATGTGTTTGTATTCAGTGATGACCACATTACCTATATAATAAAAGCAACGTCTTCAAAACCCTGGTAAGCCTAAACCGTGGGCGCCTACTACACAGTTTACAGTCAAAGAGACTGTGTGAAGGGACCCGTGTCTTTCGCTCCTCTTCTTTCTCATGGCTCTTAGTGGAGGGGGACCTAGGTCCCCAGGACAGCACCCCCACCCCTTACTCCAGTCCCTGGCGGGCCTTACCCGCTGGAAGTCGTGGATGATGTCTGCAGGGTCGCCCCCGCCAAACCGCGGCACGGGCACGTTGATGCGCTCGTAGTTCTCATCGAGGTAGATCTTCACGTCCTCCTCCAGCTCCATCCGCGTGTGGACCTGGGAGGACAGCGAGTCCTCGTACAGCACGCCGCAGTGGAAGAAGTTGTCTCGGGCCAGCTGAGCAGGGGGTGGGGGAGAGACAGACCGGTCACAGCCACGCGGGCAAAGCCACCGCCACCGACTCAACCACCTCCCATCCTGAAGGCCTGGGGGAGCAGAAGGGCGGGACTGTGAGACCCATTTCACGGAGGGAGAAACTGAGAAATGTGGGGAGTCAGGGAGGGTGAGCTGGGCCTGCCAGTTCCTAGGTGGCCACTCTCTTTGGGCCTCAGTTTCCCCATCTGCAAAATGAAGTGACCCCTCAGGTTTCTTCTGGCCTCTGGGTCCATGAATGTGACTGAAATGGGATGGCTCCACAGAGGGGGCCCTCCAGGGACACCTGAGTAAGAGGCTTGGGGGGGCAGGAGGGCTCTCGGGCACAGGGCTCTGCACCGGGCCGGGGAGAGCTGCGGGGTACCACCCTCCCTGCCTCCAGGCAGTGCTCGCCCATCCATGTTGTCCCCTGCTGTGGGGCCCTGCAGATCTTGGGGACACAAGAGGGAGAGAGTTGCTCAGAGGCAGCCCCGTTAGCTCCTGGAGGCACCACATGGCCAGCTGTCATCTCACGAGCCCCACCACCTTCCCTGGACCTGGCGCCTCATGGGAAACCTTGACAAGCACTGTGTTCCGCCCCTGAGCAGCCGGCCCAATGGCCCAGTCACTCCCATCCATCAGGGAAGGGAGGCAGTGTGACCTGAGGCCTCAGACGGGCAAGCCCAACAGCTCTGGGCCTGGGCTGCTGGCCTGTGGGGGCGAGGGGCGGGGTTCCCCTTCTGTTTTAAGCTCTCGGAGGATGAATCATCACAAGTGAATCATACTTTCCCAGGCACAGAGCCAGAGGCTGCTCCATTCCCTGGGAACTGGGGTGAGGTGAGGAACCCCAGGAGGGTGTGCATGGGGCCTGGGAACAGAGGGGACACGGAACCCAGGTGAGTCCCAGGGAGGGCCAAGGACCGGCTCCCACACAGGAAGTGAGGTCGGAAGGCTGCGGAGAGCCTGCCTTGGTGGGGGAGGAAAGGGGGAGCCGTACAGAGGGGGGAGCAGGAGAAGTCAACAAGAGGAGCTCGTCAGCAGGTGTGTGGGAGCTGAGGCCTCCGGAGCACATGGAGGACAAATTCTTCCGCAACTTCCAGCATGGGAAACCGGGGGACAAAGCCAAAGCCCAGTGTCTCAGGGTAGGAGGCCCCTCGGGGCATCGACGACTGGCAATCCCTGACCGTCTGTCACTCCAGAGACTCCCCGTTCACTGTACTCAGGCTGTTCTTTTGAGGTACCTTTAAGTTAACTGCCTTCAGTTCTGAGTTGGTGGTACCGCCTCCCTCCCCAGGGTCTGGATTGACCACAAGGTCACTGTGACCGTGACCAGTTCTCTCAGCCCAGCTCGCTGCCCTGAGTGGCTGTGCAAGCAGATAACTGGGGGTGTGACTTTCAGCGGAGGCCACCCTACAGGAGCTAGAGGTGACATCTGTCCTTAAACCCACCCTCCACCTTTGTTTTGTAATCCTGAAAGTCCCCAGCCCTGGAAAGTGAGTCCTTAAGGCGTGACACGCGGGCACAGGGTCTGGGCTCCGGAGGGATGGCAGAGTTCCCACTGCTGCGGTACCTGAGATTCTGGTCCTCACCTGGGCAAGGAAGAAGTATCTGTAGATGTAGACAGAGGCGAACACGAGGCCCATGAGCAGCACAACCATGCCCACGGACAGGTAGCACAGGCCGCCCACCGAGCCCCCCTTCCTGTAGCGGTGGTAGGGCGGCCGCTCCTCCTGTGGACGACAGTGCTGGGTCAGCCAGGCGGTGCCCCCGGGAATCGCCCGACCCCCGTCCCAGGTGAGATGTGGCGCTCTTGGCCGGGAGGGAGCCTTGGGGTGAGGGGAGGGAAGGACCTCACTGGGTACACAGAGCTTCCTCTGCAAAGGATGCCCAGCAGGGTCTCCCCAGGCTCCTCCATCCAAAAAGAAACTGACACCCACCTTGAAGCCACATAAAATGACCCACTGGGATTAAGTGGGAGCATCTGGAAATTACCCATGACAGAAGCCCCCCTCATTACCCCAGCTGTGACCACAGTACATTCTTTTAAATGTGGAACACACAGACATGCCTTAGTAATTGTGCCATACCTAGGAACCTAGAGAATTGGGGCACAGTGGGCAGGGTGCAAGCTGCTGCTCTGGGCACGGTGGTGGGGAGGGGGTGGGACTAGTATGGAGGCCAGGAGATGGACTGCTGGGCTCTGCCAAGGAGGCCGAGGAAGGGGCTCTGGGAGGCCCACAGAGGCTGGGCACTGCTGCATCCCTCCAGCCAGGCAGCACTGAGCCTGCCCCATGCCAGGCAGAGCACAGCCTCTCCAGGGCAGCAACGGCCCCACACCGGCTCCGGCCGGCAGTGTCAAGCAGGCTGCCAAGAGCGGAGCCTGCAGGGCGAAGTCTGGTGGCTTCTGGAAGCCAGGGCGCTTCTGCTGGGAGGGAAACGTGGCTGTGGCGGCAGAAGCCACCGTCAGGGAGGCCAGGGCAGGAGGCTCCTGGACAAAACCTGCTCTGGGGAGTCAGACTTGGGCTCAGGACAGTAGCTTAAGGGCCAACAAGCAGCAGCAAGCTAACCTTCCCAGCTCTAGGCTGCACGGAAGGAAGGGCCAGTGAAGGAAGGACTCTGTGTGTAAAACTCAACACTACCCCACCCAGAGCACTGGACTGAGAGTCTAGTGATTTGGGCTCTTAACCACCTGCATGGGCTGGTCACGGCTCGTGTGTATGCCTGCCTCCCTACCCTGGCCCTAACCCTGGCCCGCATCCACCCTTGGAGCTGTTCCAAGATCTGCAGGCCTGTCTCTGCCTCCAAAGCCCACCCTTCAGTCTCCCCTCCACTGTGTCCAGATGCAGCCAGGGTGAGACCAGCCCAGGGACAAGCCCCCACCAGCCTCAAGGTGCTGAGGCAGTGCTGGGGGCGCAGGGAGCTTCTCACACTGCCTCTGCCACTACCTGCCTGCTTAGCCCTTTGTGCCATGTTTCCTTTCTCCCTTCGGCCCAGGAGTGGAGGAGGTGGGGTGGCGTGGCACAGGGTCATGTCCGAGTCACCCAGGATAGGCCCTTGTCTCCAGAGCAGCACTGGGGGCCCAGCCTGTTCGGGGTGGGGCATGGGGCCTGTTGTGCAACTCAGGTGGCACCCACAAGGCTCCCTGGCTTCAAGCATATGTTGGAATGGGGCCCAGGCCTCACAGAGCAGAGGTGAGTCCCATCACAGGGCCACATGTCTTCCTTAGGCTCTCCACCCTGACCCTTAGGAAGAGGACAAAAGTGCCTAGAGGACCCTCACCACCACTGGGCACACTCATCACCGGAACAGCTGGCCCCCAACCTCTGTCCCTGGGATGTGGACAGAGGACAGAGAGGTGCCCTGGCCCATCCTGTTCCCCTGCACCCGAGTTTGCCCTCCAGGGAGCTTGCCTGGCAGAGGCAGGAGGTCAGGCCTGCGGCCCCTCACTGTCTGAGCCCATCCACAGGTCGGAGGCCTCTCCCCACCCCGGCCCAAGCCAGAGAAGCAAGCCTGTGAGACCACCCACCTGGCTGGCTCCCTGGCGGCACAAACCAAAGTCGTTCTTAAGAGGGGCACAGGGACAGCTGGCGGCCAGAGGGGCGGGGATGGGGCTGCAATGGCTTTGACCTTCCAGTGGGTTCCCAGGGGCAGCACACGGCGGGGCAACTAGCATCCCACAAGGAACAAGCCACCCAGGGACGCACACAGATGAGGCGGTGACCTTTCTGCTCCTCCGGTGTCATGATGGGTCCTCAGGAAGGGTGGCTGTCCCAGAACACAGGCCAGGCCGCCTGTGCCAGCTGAGAGTCCTGCCCTGGGGGCACGACACTTGTGTTTAGTGAGACTGTGGGGCTGCCAGGACCCAGGGTTGAGAAGAGCCAAGAAGCCACCCAGCAGGGGTGGGGGGCCCACGTGTGGGGAGCATTACAAGTCCCCCTCCATGGGTTCTCATTTGAAATGTGAACAGATGCTTCCTGACAGGGTTTTGTCAGCATTAAAGGAGACAAGGAACCTGAAAGCCCTTTGTACAGGATAAAGTGCTAGATAAAAACAGCAGATCTTTATGAGCTGAACCTTTTAGGGCCACTGCCAGTGGACTACTGTTAAGCCTGCACAGTGACCACGATTTTGCTCCTACATTTAGGAAAACCAGAGAAGCAAGCTTGTGAGAGTTACTTTAAAACAAAACAAAGTCAGTTGCCTACAAGCAGAGCCCAAGGGCCTGCTCCACAGATGAAGTTCAGGGACAAGGTGAGGCCTGCTAGTTTTACAACTGCCTTTTTGCTTCCGGTTGGGTCAGGTGTTTCTAAGTGCTTGGGGGAAAAGGCCAGGCAGGAGGGGTGGCTAATGTGGCTGAGAAGGACATGGCCTCCAGACAGGACCCCTAATGCCACCTTGTGTCCTCACATGTCTCTGTGGGGGTCACCATGATCACTAGATGTTCAGTGGACATACCCCTCACAGGGCTGGGACTAACAAATGGCTCTCTGTCCCGCCCCTACTGGTACCCCGTAGTGCACACCCAGGGTCCCCATCCTAATCCACACCCCTTCCACCTGCAGGGCTGAGCAGCAGGGCTGCATGGGAAAGCAGCCGTGCTCAGAGCCCACCACTCCACAGTCAAGACCAATGCTTAAATTCCAAAGCCCTTTGCCAGCCCATTACCGCAGCCACCACTGCTTCTGGGGAGTTCAGTCAGTCTGGTGGGGCCCTGGGGATCCCTAGCTTTCCCACTCACACACGATGGCTGAGGGGCCTGCTTCCTGAGACCCTCAAGCTGCTTCCCTGGTCATGCTGGAGACCCAGGAAAATGCCACCTGGCCCCCTCCCCATGGAACAGTCAGCGGCCACCAGGCATTTGGGGGCTTCCACTTAGAAAGTAGAAAATCACGGCAGACTGTTTTCAAGGCAACTGGGCTTTCTGAGCACACGTGTCTTGCTGTATACCTGTGTGGGCCACGTGGTGGAAGTCCAGGGACTGGAGAGGGGCCTGGGTCTCTGCCTGCCTGCTTCAGTGGCCCGCAATAGCACTCATTCGGTGAGTTAGCAAAGCCAAGCCAGAGCAATCAGGGGGAACCCAGCCAACTGGAGCATTAACTCAGCAGACCCCCATGGCTCCGAGAGACAGCTCCCCAGCCATGTCCCTTAGTAACAATGTCCAAATTAACTGCAAGCGGATTAAACTACAATTGTAGACTGCTCAGAGGAGGCTGGCAAGGGAGCCAGAAATACACTTGCTGCAGGCCCAGGCTGACAGCTGGAGGGGGAGGGGGTCTTATCTGCCTCCCCAGCATCAGCCCTCCTCCTCAGCACCTTTCTCTGCTGCAGACTACAGATCTGCAAGGGTCTGCAAGTCAAGGGCACCAATGTGTGTGTGCGTGTGTGAGAAAGATGGAAAGATCAACTAGTGGGAGGTGGGGGGCGTGGGCAAATGCCCACCGTCCACCAGAGCATCTGAGGCTGTGTTTGGATGTACAGATACCAGCTGCCCACAGGGGTCATGGATTCACCTCATTCCTGTCATGTGGCCCAGTGGCGCCCGAAGTGCGTGCCCTGAGAACTCTGCTCAGCTGGGCTGGGCTGATTCTCTCATCTCTTCCTTTCCTGACAGTCAAGATGAGACTCCAAAGAACAAAGGCTAGCAAGAGAGAAAGCTGGCTGCTGGAAGCGGTCTCCTGGGGGGAGGGACTGCGGAGGGTGGGGGTAGCTGGGCTGTGCTTCCGTGATTTTACCATAAACACTTTTCTCAGTAAGAGAAACTCGTCCTCCCTGGCAGTCTGCTGACAGCCCTGAAACATGCAAGACCAGCCAAGGGGAGAATTGAAAAGGCAGGGAAACAGCGGGGAAGCAGGAAGGCCACTGCGGTGCAGGCCCAAATGCCAAAGCCCCTTTGAGGGCGCACAGCAGGCCAGGAAAGGGACCACCGACGTCCCTGTGCCGCCGTGGGCGGGAACTGGGGCTGGGCTGCCTTCCCACGACGGACCTTTCGGCCCAGCCCTTGGGGCTGGCGGCTGGCAGGGGACCCCCCTCCCCCAACCAATCCAGGAGCTCCAGCTCCCTCCTGCCAAGGGCCTGAGGCCAGGACAGGGAAAGTGAAATCTGATTCCCAGGTATGCAGGCTGTGAGAGGGGGCAACGCAGGAGCCACTGATCAAAGGCAAAAGCCAAGGAGAAAATTACCAGAGATGACTATATTGAACCTATTCTCTCCTTCTGCGCCGCACAGCACCTCCCAAGCCCCTGTCCCGCCCATTCGAGCTTGTACTTGCCCACACCTGATTGCGTGTACGCACGCAGGCACAGGACTGTGGGGAGAAGGGAGCTGCACTAAGAGGCGCAGGGTTGGTCAGTGGGCCTCTCAAGGGGCAGAATTGTCTGGCCAGAGGGTGCTAGGAGGGGGTGTTTCCTGGCCAGCCCACTTAACAAGCTAACTTCTCGCCAACCCCACCCCCCACCCCCATCGGCATAGGCTTCTCCTCTCAGAGGCAAACACCAAGGAGAGGGTGGGTGGCTGGAGGCCCAGTTGGGCCCTCACCCCCATCCCTTCCCGGCCCACTGAGGCACTTCCTTCCAGCAGCAGGTCTGGGGACAAAATCGTCCTTGTGTCTCAGCTTTTGCCCAGAAGCAGGGGGAGCCCCCGCCGTGAGGGTGTTCCCACCACCTCACCCTGGCCCCTGGCCTGAACACAGGTCGACATTTCATTACATCAGCCAGCAGGGGCCTCACTGCTGAAAGGCATTCAGAAACTCTTCTGTTCATCAAGTGGTCCTTTCAGGACTTTAAACCTTATTTGAGTGAAGGTTCTCAGGTCACACCCAGCCAGAAGAAACCTAATAAACTTTCCTCCACATCCCCAACAACAGGGCACACAACCCTAATGCTCTGTCTTGATAAAGCAGCTCGTGGGGTCCTGCCACCCTCTCCTCCGGGCCCTAATAAATGGCTGATGTCCTGAGCTACATCTGTGAATGCTGGGCGCCTGCTGTGCCCGAGGCGGAGGGACATGGGAGCTGTGCTCCTTGGCCAGGTCGGAGGCTCATGGCAGTGCACTCTTCCCAAGGCACCAACTAGCAGCAGAACCACCATGGAACATCCAAAGGTCCCTGAGAGCCCGGGGAGCTACGGGAGTTTACTCACATCCTAAAGGTAAGGATTCTCTTTCTCCTCCTGGTCATTAGGAGAGAGAGGGGACGCTGCCCAACTGACTCCACGCTGAGCAGGCTCAAGGCCATTACAAATAGCACCAGGGCCATGTTGGTATTTCCACTTCCTGCTGGGCGAGAGGCAAGAGAGGCCGCGGATTTCAGAACCAGAAGCTCAGTTGATGCCAAGGTGCTGCTGGCATCTGCCATCCAGCCTGACACTATCAGAAGGCTGCTGCTGGGAACTCCCCCATGTCTGGCTGGTCCTTCCTCTTGCCCGAATTCTACAGCTCTTCGAGGCAAGGTCCCGTGTTCCAGGCCTTGGCTGAGAGACCGACTCTGGGAGAAGCAGGGGTCAAGGCCCCATCCCTGCTCCCACCCAGGAGGGGGCAGAGGACAGGCTTCCTTTGGTGAAGGGAGGAAGGAGGACTAAAGAGCCCCTTGTAAACTTTCAAAGGTGCAGACTACCCGTCGTCACATATGGAGTGCTGGGTCCCCACCTAGGCACCTGATGAAGTGGGCGCTGCTCTGCTGGAGGGTGCACAGCGATCCCTCACCCCAGCCTGGGTGGTCGCTGACGCTGCTCGCCAGAGGCTCCTGCTCACACTCCTCAGGGTTTTTACTTGGGCCTGACACCCACCCCGGGCCACTCTCCAGCGGCCCAGTGCTCCAGGGGGGCCCCTGGAGCCTTGGAGATACTTTGGACAATACTCTCCACAAAACCTGGGGAAGGCCTTTGTGGCTGAGGAGGGCTCCTTTGAAGGCTGCAGCAGGAAGAGGAAGGGAGTGGACAGAGTCTTTCGAAGTCCAGTCTCCAAGTGGGGGCCAGAGGCTTGATGGGCCCCAAGACCGCCAGGGCGCGGGCTGCGTAGACCTTTGCCGGGGCAAGACACAGCCGGGCTGGACCAGCTCTCCCTCGCCTCGCCTCCCTGCGGCCGCGCGTCCTGCCCGCTCCGGCCCTCCCCGGGTCAGACTCCACGCGGCTCAGGCAGTTTTCCACCGCGGAAATGCCTTCTTCCCCCCAGGCCGGAGGGAAGGAGATGAGGGAGGCCGCCGGCGGGGGCGGGATGCACCGAGACCCGCCCCCACAAAGCTCGTCCGGGATGCAGGGGCGCCGTGGGGGCGCCTCCCCGCGGGATGGAGGGCGCTCAACTGGGCCAGACCCGGGTCAGGAAGGAAGAGGGCTGTGACTCGCCGGGAGGCACCGACGGCTGGGGGCGGAGTGGGATCAGGGCGCCCCGCCCGCACCCCTAACTCCGAACCTGGAAGCCCGACTGTGCGGCCAGGCGGGCTCTGGTCTATTTCCATTTCATGACTTTCCGACCCACTAATTCAGGCGCAGGGCAGCCCGCTCCCCGTCCCCGCTGCTCCCCGTCCGGGATGGGACCAACGGCCTCTCCCCCTTCGCGGCATCAGACTCCCCACCCGCCTTCAATTACCCGCCAATCAAGACCCACCGCCCTACTGTGGGGAAACGACGTCCAGCCTTCCTCCCATCCCCCACCTGGAGACTCGACTCTCAGCCCCTCCGCCCTGATTGGAAGCAGACGCACACCCCCCACTGACATTCCTCGAAGTTCTCCGGACCGGCGCCCTCCCTCTCGCTTGGAGCCGGCCGCCAAGAGCGCCCTCCACCTCTGGACGGGCCCTCGCTTCCGCGCCCGGGCCCTCGGCCCCTCTCACCCGAGCCGGCGTCAGCAGGATCTCCGCGGCGGCGGCCGGCGCCGCGGCCGAGGCCGACGCCGAAGCCTTGTCGGCCTTGTCGCCCTTGATGCCGGCCACGGCGGGCTGGAAGCTGATCTTCACCATGGCTGCGACCGGCCGCGCGTCCGCCCTGCAGCCTCGGCTGGTGCCGGCTCTCTGCGAGCAACCGCCGCTCCGCGCTCCGCACGCACCGGAAGCTTGGCTGCCGCTCAGGTCGCTTTCTCTAGCCCCACCCCCAGCTCTCCCCGCCCCCGCCCCCTGCAGGAGAGCCTGGGCGCCCTTCTCGCCGGCGCCCCCTCTCCGCCCTCGGGGCGCGCAGTGACCCCTGCCGGGCGCGCTCTCCGACCTGGAGAGGACTGATTCCCTCGACCACTCGCTCGCCCGCCCACTCCATCCATCCATCCATCCATCCATCCATCCATCCATCCATCCATCCATCCATCCATCCATCCATCCATCCATCCATCCATCCAATCAGGCATGGACTCAGCCCTCTTCGCAGCTTTACTCCTTCTGGCTTCGTTTCCAACACCAGCATCCCCACAACACAGCCTTTGTTTAAAGTGTTTGCTAGGCAGATGCAGCTTCTAGAAAGTACCTCATCTCCCCTTCCCGACTTCGTACCCTCTTCGGAAACTGTCGCCTTCGCTGCACCTGCTGGCCCTGCACCCTCCTCCCATCTGGGCCGGGGCCGGGAGGAGCCTTCAAGGCCATGTGCCCAGCAGCTTGCCTGCATCCTGCACCCATCCACACCTCTTTCATTCTCCATCATCCTTTTTTCCTTCATGCTTCATTCCTGCAGAACGTTTCTGAGGATCCTTGGGGGGTTCATGCTAAGGACGCTGGGAGCAGCCTGAGCTTCCATTACTGACAGGCCCTGTCGCCCACCTCTCATCCATCCAGGAGGGTGGCAAATGTGGTGGGAAGATCCTCATGGCCAATGTCTGGAGGCTTGGGTTTGGAGTTCCAGTCAAGACTCTGCCCCTGCAAAGCATCACAGGGATTGTGGAGTGGCAGGGCCTTCTATTGCTGAGGCATCTCTTGGCACCAAAACCCTGGATCTTTCTTCACTGTCCTTGGTCCACACTGGACTGGGGACAATACCCAGCAACACACACACACAGCCTTGGGCTGAAACCCAGCTTTGTTCCACAGTTGGACTGACAGGGGAAGGCAGGGGACTCTGAGGCCTTGTTGACCCCTCCTGTCATGTCTCGGTCAGCTGCTTTGAGCCTTGGGTGTCCACCCCACCATCCTGGCCCAGACCTGGATGAACCTAGCAGCCTTGAGGACAGACAGGTTTAGAAGGAAGACCTAACTGATGCTAAGGCCAGCCTGATGGGGAGCCAGGAGGAGGGATGGGGATGTGAGGAAGATGGCTTGGAGGAGGTGCAGAGAACTTTGGTTGGATGAGAACCAGACCGGAAGATTATATGGACTGTTGTTAATCAGCTCTGAGAACCCCCAGGTGAATCTTGGTGTTTGGAAAAGCTAAGCTCCTGGCCCTTGGTTAGATTCCCACACAGTGACCCCAACATTCATTCCTCCACTCAGAAAATGTTTTCAAGTGCCCCTGCATGCCGAGCATTGTGGCAGAAAACAGAAAGCCCCGAGACAACCCAGAAGCCAAGGGCTTGATCACGTTAAAACTTCCATCTCTGAATTCTTTCATGTCAGTTATCTCCTCTCACTTCATCCCAGACCCCTGACCTACCATTGCCCACATGCTCGTCATGGAAAGCAGTTAACTAACCCCAGGTCACAGGGCCAGTAGGGCACAGATCTCAGGTGGGTGAGACAGGACCACATGGCTGACACATCTGTGTGTCAGTTGGCAGGCGTGAGCGCCACCTTGCCCTGAAGGCCTTCTCTGAGCTCTCCGCCCTGAGTTAAGTCCCTGTCTCCTGGGCATCCTTCATGTTCTGTACATCACCCGCATACCTTTCTTTATCCTGACCATGGGCCTCACCTCAGCCAAGTGCTGGGCGCACATCCTACTTCAGTGATCCTAAGCTTTTTGGTTTCAGGACCCCTGAAGGGCTTTTTCTTATGTGGGTTATATCTATCATTTACAATATTAGAAATTAAGCTAGAAAAATTTAAACAAATATTTCCTTCACCATCAAAGTACGTCGTCATCATATATTGTGTATCCTCTGGAAAACTCCACTGTACGCTCATGAGAGAATCAAAGCGAGACAGGCAAATAACACCTTCGTATCACTGCAAAAATAATTTTCACCTTGCAATTCCCCTAAATGGATCTTGGAGACTTCTGGGGTCTTCAGATCACACTTTGGAACTTCTGCTCTGGTAGAAGCTCAAGAATCCATATTCCATGGATTCCAACACACACTTTTGAAAAATATATGTTGAGATCTCTGAGATCAAGATATCTTTTACAACTATAATTGACAGTGATTTTTTAAAAATTGTTTTTATTTTTTTTCATTATTTTATTATTTTTTTATTATGAAGGTTTCCCATGAAAAACATTGTGGTTACTACATTCACCCATATTATCAAGTTTCCTCCACACTCCATTGCAGTCACTGTCCATAAGTGTTGTAAGATGCCACAGAGTCCTCTCTGTGCTACACTGACAGTGATATTTCTTAATGTGCTTAAAGTAATGGTGTGTCTTACAACAGACAGAGTCCTCGAGCTGATGGGGTGCAGTGTAAGCAGGCACTGATCTAAGAGCTCCAGGAGGCAGCATGAGGTTCATCATCACCCTATGGGTTTTGTAAGTTCAGGTAAGAAGGATGGCAAGGTGAGCCTGGAAAGTAGGGGTGGGTGCAGCTGAAGCTCCATGGAAAGCACCAGGCTTAGGTGGGAGCTGAAGGGTGGGGCGTGGAAAGGTGACAGGAAAATGGGAGGTGTCCTAGTAGGGAAAGACAGCAAACCTGGGCTGGGAGCCCTCACCCAGCACTGCAGCAGCTGCCAGCCCTGTGTTACCCTGTCCTTCTGTCTGTATTTCTCACCTCAATGACAGAGCGCCTCCTGCCCAGCTCTGTGATTCCAGGGCCTACTGAGGGATCACTAAGTTCTGGTGGGGGAAAGTGACACCATCCTGCCATTTGGAACCACAGTGCTACCTTCTCTTCCTTCCCTCTTCGCTGCTGAACTATCCTCTGGTGGTCCATGTGAATGGTGGCCCTCGGAGACTAGCAACAGGCTGGGTGTGGCTTCCTTCTCTAAGTCATTGTCACAGTGATGACTTGACCAGCAGCACCTGCAGTCCTGCGAACTTAGAAATGCAAACTCTTAATTCTGAACCTCTGGGTTCAGCTATCCCTTCCTTCCTATCAGCAACAAACATGCTTGTATCAACCTTCAAGAAAACAAAACACCTCCTTTGACCCCATGTTCCCTCCTTGGTACCCTATCTCTCTCATTTTCTTCCTAGCCAAACTTCTGGTAAAATCAAGGCAGAACATTTCCATAATTCCAGACAGTTCCCTCCCTCTCCTTCCCAGTAAACCCTTACTACTCTCCCTCTATTACCAACCACAGTTCTGATTTCCAACCTTACAGATAATTTTGTCTATTCTTGAACCTCATATAAATAAAACTGCAATCTGTACTCTTTTATGTCTGGTGATTTCACTCAACAGTGTTTATGAGATTTATCTACAATACTTTGTTATTTTTTATTGCTGAGTAATATTCTGTTTTATTAATATACAATAATATACTATCCATTCTAGTTATGGATATTTGGGTTGCATTCAATCTTTGGCTATAATGAATAAAGCTGCTGTGGAACATTCTGGTACATAGCATTTTTTGCTGACATATGTTTTCATTATTCTTGAGTAAACAGTTTCCACAGAGGGTAAGGCAGGAATGGCCCCCCCCCAGCAGGTAGGCTGATTTCATCACATGACATTGTTTAGAATGCATTGGTACATGGTGATAATATAAAGTAGACCAATTTTTAGTTGGCTTAGTTTTATTATTGTTCTTAAATTCTCCACAGACATTGCACCCCCTGGCCGCCTGACCAGAGAAAGACCACTCACACCATACTCTTCCCACTTGGCACCCAGTTCCTAGGAGTGGAATTGCACCATTTTCTATTCCCCCCAGCAACACATGAGAGCTCTAGTTGTTCCACAATCTCAGTAACATTTGGTGCTGTCAGTCACTCTAATGTTAGCAATTCTAGTTGATAGAACAAGTTGTATCTTATTGTGGTTTTAATTTGCATTTCCTTGATGACTAATGATGCTGAGCACCTTTTTATGTGGTATTGGCCATCTGCATATCTTCTTATATATCTTGTATATCTTGGAAGCATCCAAGTCTTTTGGTCACTTAAAAAATTAGGTTATATTTGGATTATTGATTTGTAGGAGTTCATTGTATATTCTGGATACAAGTCCTTTGTCATGTATATTTATTGTGAATATTTCCTTCTATGAGGTGGTTTATTTTTTTTTCCTTAGCTCTGTCTTTTGATGAGCAGAAGTTTATAATTTTGATGAAATGTAATATATCAATTTTAAATTTTTGGTTAGTGCTTTTAGCATCCTGTCTAAAAAGTCTTTGCCCACCCTGAAATTGTGAAGATATTCAAGTCTGTTTTCTTTTAGGTTTGTAGTTTTAGGGTTTACATATAGGTCTATGATCCATTTTTGATTGCTTCTGATGTGTGATGTAAGATAGGAGTTGAGGTTTCTTTCTGTTCCTCATCATTAACTAGATGTTCAAGCCTCAGTTGTTTAAGAAGCTCCTTTTCCCATTGAATTGCCTTGGCATCTTTGTCAAAACTCAGATAATGATTTATATGTTGGCTTATTTCTGGATTCTGTTCTGTTACATTCCTCTATTTTTTCTACCCTTATGCCAATTCCATATTTTCTTGATTGTTGTAGATTTCTAATAAGTCTTGAAATCAGGTAGTGTAAATATTTTTCTTCTTTTTCATATCATTTTGGCTCTTTAGATCCCTTGACTAGCTATATAACCTTTAGAATTGGCTTGTCCAATTCTACAGAACAAAATGTTAGGTATTAACTGGGTTTGAGTGGAATCTATAGATTGATTTGGGGGAAACTGATGTCTTATGATACTGAATTCAAATCCATGAACATGGTGTATCTCTCCATTTGCATAGGTCTTCTTTAATTCCTCTCAACAATGTTTTGTAGTGTCCAGAGTAAAGGTCCTGCATATCTTTTGTTAGATTAATGCATAAGTATTTCATGTTATTTTGATGTTATTGCACCATTATTTCCATCATTTAAAAATTCTTAATTGGTAATATATAGACATAGAATTAATTTTGGAAAATTGACCTTGGATCCTGAAACTTAAACATATTCACTTACTAATCACAGTATTTTAAAAATAAATTCCTTGGGTCTTCTAATGCATATTCATGTCATCTGAGAACCAGGACAGTTTTCTTTTCTCAACCTTTATGCCTTTTATTTCTTTTTCTTGCCTTGCTGTTTAGGTCTCCAGTACAATGCTGAATAAAAATGGTGAGAGTAGACATCCTCACATTATTTCTCATCTTACAGAGTAAGTGTCCAATATTGCATCACGAATGTTGCAGCTCGATGAATATTCACATAACTAACACACACAGATAACTAGCACCCAGATCAAGAAAAAGACATGCATGTTCCTCCTTCTGTTATCACTTGTGACCCAAGAGAAACTACTACCTGATTTCCTGCCCAGTGAGGAACTTTGCCTATTTTGAAAATTTTACATGTATGTACCACATAATATGTGTTCTTTCCTGATTCAACATCACAATTGTGAGAGTCATCCGTGCCAGGAGTATTGGTGGTTCATTCTCACAAATGTGTGATATTCTCCTGTGAACCACTATTGGTTTATCCATTCCGTGGTTGGTAGATATTTGGGTTGTTTCTGGTTTGGGGCTATGATAAACAGCAATCGCTGTTTGAAAAGTGCTGTACGAACATTTTTGCTCATGTCATACAGGAGAACTGAGTTTCATTTTTTAATATGTGTTTTCCACTTCCCAGGCAAGAAGGCAAGCCTCTCTCAGCAGCAGGCTGAGTTCCGTACAAGAGCCTCTTGAGTAAGGTGCAGGCCAATGGGACAGAACGAAAGCTCTTGGTTGACAGCTCAGAATCTTCTGCCTGCCCTTTCACTTATCATCTTGCCACATGTGTCTTTAGGTATGACTCAAAGAGCTGGATTTGTGCTGTTAAAATATTTTGGTGGAAGGTATTTCTTTGGTGAGGTGGTATAGTGATTGGGCTCTGGAGATACCCCTCCAGATACACCCCAACTCAGGGGCCTCCTCAAATGAGCTTCTCATTCTCTCCCGGTATCTGGACTGTAGGAAGAGGAGACAGGCTTGCAATGACCCCACTAAGAAGGCTTCCAGCAAATCATCACACCACCTCAGTCACTTTGGGACGCACCATTGTCAATATAATGCACAAGACATTCTCTTCACAAGAGCAACTACCAATGTGACGTTCCTAGGACTAAGTCTTATGACCTATGTAAAGACATTTTACTGATGGCATAAAGCTTAAGTAAATGAAGAGACAAACCATATTCCTGGATGGGAAGATCATGAAAATGTTGATTTTTCTCCAAATCAAAGCAAATCCAATCAAAATTTGAATAGGTTTTTGCAGACAAATAGAAACACTATTCTAAAATTTGTCTTGAAAAGCCAATATAGTGCAATTGCCAAGAACTTTAGTAAAAGAAAAAAAAAATAATGATGACTAAAAATTTCAGCATAACAAAATATGATGTTGAAATTTAGCAGAGGAAAATACTGGTAAATATAAAATAGAGATTTTCTACAGGCAAGAAATCACGATGGAAAATTTGACATCTGAAAATACCATGAATGAAATAAAGAGGCAGATGTCACACTGGAAAAATTCTAGTTATTTCTGATGGGTGCAAGGGAGGCAGGAAATGTAGTCTTTTTAACTAGGTAACAATGAGCTCCATTAAATGAGTTTCCATTTCTAAAGAAGAAAGAGAGTTAGAAACAGGGAATCAGAATTTCCTGCCAAAAGAATCCATAATTAAAAAAAATGAGAATTCATAGTATAAAAATAAATGACTTAAGTATTAACACCAAGAACCTAGGGGGAAAACAACCAAATACACCTGAAGAAAATGGAAAACAGAAACTAAATTAATGGGAAAATGGAAAAAAATGGAAGAACTGATAAGTATATAATTTTTTTCTTTTCTTTTCTTTCTGCAACATCTTTTTTTGCCCCAACTTTTTTGAGGTATAAATGACAAATAAAACTTGCATATTTTTAAGTTTTAAAGTGTACAATATAATGATTTAATATATGTATACATTGTGAAATGAGTGCTACAGTCAAGTTCTTGAGCACAGCCAACACCTCACATAGTTAGCTTTGTGTGTGTGTGAACACTTAGCAGCTTCTCTCAGAGAAAATTTCAAGTATACAGTATTATTAACTATCATCACCATGTTGCACATTAGATCCCCAGGTCTTATTCAATTTATAAATGAAACTTGATACCCTTTGACCAAGGTCTCCCCATTCTCTCACCCTCCAGCCTGTGGTAACCAGTCTTTTGTTCTATGAGTTCAACTTAGATTCCACGTAAGTGAGATCACACGGTGTTTGTCTTTCTCTATCTGGTTTATTTCACTTAGCATGATGTCTTCCAGGTTCATCCATGTTGTCACAAATGGCAAGATTTTCTTCTTTTTTTATGGCTGAACAATATTCCATTATATATATGTATGATATATAAATAACATTTATATACATAAAATATTCTTTATCTATCACCACTTAGGTTGTTTCCATATCCTGGCTACTGTGAATAATGCACCAGTGAACATGGGAGTACAGAGACCATTTTGAGATACTGACTTCATTTCCTTTGGACATAAACCCAGTAGTAAAATTGTTCCATCGATGGTTGTTCTATTCTCAATTTTTTGAGGAACCTACATATTATTTTCTACAGCTATACCTGATATTGAAGAGATCTTCTGAAAACTTCAGTAGAAAGAGGCAAGACTCTGGAATATCCAATTAATAAATAAGAGAGAAAATATTAATTCAGTGAGAAAGAAGATATAACTACAGGTAAGGTAGATAGTACAAATTACAAAGTATTTTATATGCAATCATATCTAGTAAATACAAATACTCTGAAGTGGATGATTTTATGGAAAAGTATAAATGGCCAAACTGGACTCAAGAAGAAGTGGAATACATAATGCTCTATAATCAAGGAAACAACTGAAAAAAGGTATCAAGAAATTATCTCAAAAAATGATTCTGAACAGCCAGGCCACTTCACTAGATAGTTCAGTCAAATTAAAGGAACAGCTGATTCTACTAATGCTTCAATTAACTTTAGGTTATATATTCTGACACAAACATCTCACAAACAAGAGAAAAAAACATAATTTTAGTAATGAATAGAGATATAAAAATCCAGCAGTACATTAGAGAGAACAGTGAATTGCCATCAAGTAAAAGGTCTCCTAAGGATAAAGACACAAATTTCATGTTTGAAGATCTATTTGGGGAGAAATTGTTTTGTGAAAGAATGCTTCAAAGTAATAGCTATTCAACTTGAAAAGCATAGAAAAGCAAAAAGAAAATGAAACAACTATTATGACAACACCCACAAACCACCACCATGAATGCATTGTTACCTTTCCTTCAAAATTTTTTACACTGTGTGTGAGTGTGAGTGCCATGTTTTTATAAAACTGAAACACATTGTGTGTGTGTGTGCGCACGTGCACTTAACTGCGGATGATTTTGACCTTCAGGTAACGTTTGACAATGTTTGGAGACATTTTCAGTTGTGACAGCTTCGGTGGGGAAGGTGCTGCTGACCTTGAGGCGGTAGAGGCCAGGGCTACTGCTGAGCCTGTAACGCAGAGAATAGTCCCCACAAAAAAGAATTATCCGTCTAAGATGGCAGTAGTGCCAAGGTTGAGAAAATCTGATTGATAACCTGCTTTTTTTCTCTTTAAGGTAATTTCAACATTTTTCATGTAGTAGGCAGAATTCCTCCCCATTCTCCCTGCCCACCCTCTAATCTCTGGATCCTGTCAATTTGTTATCTTACAAAGTGAAAGGAAATTTGCTAAAGTAATTAAGGTTATGAACCTTAACATGGGAAGATGATCCTGGATTATCTGCATGGTCCCGATCTAATCACACGCATCTTTAAAAGCAGGGAACTTTCTCTGCTAGAGTGAAAGAGACCGGCAGAAGGAGAATGCAGAGAGATTGGAAGCGTGAAAGGACTGGTTGCTGTTTGAAGATTGGGGTGCGGATAACGTGACAAGGAATGCAGATACCGTTAAAGTGCTCAGAGAGACTCCCAGCTGACTGACGGCAAGAAAACGGAGACCTCAGTCCTACCACCATTGACCTTGAACTCTCTGGACAACCTGAATGAGCCTGGAGGCACATTCCCTCCAAGAGCCTCCAGATAAGGAGTTCAAGCTGGTTTGGTCACCTTGCTTTTGACCTTGTAAGACCAGGAGCAGAGGAAACAGCAGCCCCCACGTATACTATTGACCTACAGAACTCTGAGATAATGAGTTTGTGTTGCACTAAGTTTATGACAATATTATAGCAACAATATAAAATGAACATATCTGGTATGACCAAAACTCACATTCACCAACATCTTGGCATGTAAATCTTTGTCCCCATCTTGTAGGCGGTTTTTGTAAATGTCACCAAGTTCCTTTCAGGAAACATTTTTTTCAATTTATCATTGGCTGTATTTGAGAGATACAGCTACACCATGCTCTTATCAACATTTAGTGAAATCATTGAAAACCTGTCCTTTAATTTCATAAGTAAAGATGTATTATCTGGGTATTATATTTTGTCAATTTTTTTGTTAAAAATAAAGTTCCAGATATTTGCTTATTATGTTTTTCCCCCAAAGAACTACTTCTTGGATTGATCAATTCTGTGTTTTTTTCCTGTTTTCTAATTACTTTATTTCTGCTTTTTAAAGAATTCATTTCCTTCTCGTCTTCATATGTGTTCTGTTTTTTCCCTAACTTCTTCTGTTACTAGTGAAGATGAACTTTTTCTTCCCATGTTCATTACACCTCTATCTACAAATTGGGGAAAATATTACCTATTCCATGGTAATAATCATTAAACAATATTAGGCTTAATTGTGACAATACACAGAGCAGAATCTGGAGGTATTATAACTCAAATAACTGTAACTTCTGCTGGTGGTGTTTGGATTGCGTCCAGTTTCTCACTATTAGAAACAATGCTCTGGGGACACTTCACTGCTCTTCACAAAGGGCATCTGCTTCAAACCCACCAGCTCTGTGCAGCTCCTGCCTACAGCCTCCTCAGTAAAGGAGACTTTTTTCTTTACAGTTGAAATGATTAAGAGTAATACTGTTTTATCTGCATTTTTTCAGAATACTGTTAAGAAAATAAAAATAATCATTAACAAGAATACAAATTTGCAATACACTTTGAAGCAAATTGTTTTTACCCAATCAAGTCATATCAGACTTACTTTTTAATCTTCTTTATTTAAAATGGAAGTACTTTGCTTTTTTAAGGATAAATTAAGTGTGTGCATGTTGTAGAAATTTCAGACAACGTAGAAAGTCAGCTGTATTAGGGCTGCCGTAAAAAAGTCTCACCGTCTCAGTGGCTCAAACAGAAGGGTTTTGTCTCACAATTCTGGAGGCTGCATGTCCAAGATCAAGGTGTGGATAGGGTTGGTTCCTTGTGAAGCTGTGAGGAAGAATCTGTTCCATGCCTCCCACCAGGTTTCTGCTGGTTTACTGGCAATCTCTGGTGCTTCTTGGTGTGGAAATAGCACCCTGACCTCTACCTGCATCTTCCATGGTGTTCTCCTGTGAGTGTGTGTGTGCCCAAATTTCCCCTTTTTGTAAGGACACCTGTTACACAGGATGAGGGCCCATCCTACTGACCTCATCTTAGCTAATTACATCTGCGATGACTGTATTCTTAAACCAGGGCATATTCAGAGGTAGTGACGTTTAGGATTTCAACATATGAATATTAGGGAGGCACAGTTCCACAGTAACAGCAGCCTTGTCCATAATTACAGTTCCCTAGGATAATTGCCATTATCGATATCAGTATGCAGCTGGTGTATATTCTTGAAGGCTTTCTCTACATGCATATGTACATTCTCAAAGCTTATTTTGCAAAAATAAATAAAAAAGGATTTTGCAGATTTCTAATCTGCTTTTTTCACTAAATAAAGTGTTATGAACACCTTTCCATGTCATCATATATAGATAATATTTTAACGGGTATATAGAATTCTATTCTTTGATGCATTATATTTTTATTGATTGAAGAATATTTGTTTTTCCCAAATGTTTGCTCTTTCAAGCAAAGCAGAACAGAAGAAGGATTCTTGCAGGCAGCGTGCTTGATTCCTAGCTGCTATTTCCCTAAGATAACTTGCTACAAGTGGTTCTGCTTGTTTAAACGGCCTGTATCTTGCCAACTATTTTGACGCATATTGTCAACCTGCCCTTCAGAAAAGCTGCCACTCTTGATACTCCCCCTCCCCCTTCCATACCTGCTCCTCCCCAGCTTCCTGCGCTTCCGCGAGGATAGCTCTGTTCCAGCAACTGAAGCCAAAGCTTGACGTCATCCTTGTTGTCTCTTTTTGCCTTACATCCCGCACTGAATCTATCAGCAAGCTCCCTGGGCTCAGCCTCCAGAGACTATCCAGACGGGCTCGCTTCTCCCACCTTGGTCTACGCCATCCCTTCACCTGGAACATCTCACCTGGTCTCTCTCACCTGCATGTTCTCAAGGTCTAGCTTGTTTAAACGGCCTGTATCTTGCCAACTATTTTGACGCATATTGTCAACCTGCCCTTCAGAAAAGCTGCCACTCTTGATACTCCCCCTCCCCCTTCCATACCTGCTCCTCCCCAGCTTCCTGCGCTTCCGCGAGGATAGCTCTGTTCCAGCAACTGAAGCCAAAGCTTGACGTCATCCTTGTTGTCTCTTTTTGCCTTACATCCCGCACTGAATCTATCAGCAAGCTCCCTGGGCTCAGCCTCCAGAGACTATCCAGACGGGCTCGCTTCTCCCACCTTGGTCTACGCCATCCCTTCACCTGGAACATCTCACCTGGTCTCTCTCACCTGCATGTTCTCAAGGTCTCCCCCCCCAGCTCCTCCCCGCCCCCCACTGCCCCACGAGGTCTGTTCTCCCTGCAGCTGACGGACGACACACTTCAAAAGGTAAATCGGACCCTGCCTCTGCTCTGACTTCA